TAGCTGTACCAGAAGCAAAGCGCATGAGATTCCAGAGCCACCCACAATCATCATCCCAAGAGCAGATCACGACACACGAGTGCCCATAGAGCTCGCCGCTGTTGTAAAGTTCACCGACGTGATCCTCAAACATACAGTAAAACTCTCAAACCATTCATATAAGTACCAGATTAAACAACCCAGCTAGGTGGGCCACGCTGGGCTGCGTTGCCCCTGGCGTGGCGTGCAAGAAGGCGGTCGTCGGCTCGTCGCCAGGTGGGACAGCACGCACACGGCACACCTGTGGGCTGTGGCGTCCACGATGACGAGCTCGGCCGTCGGCTCCACTTTATGACACGGTGGTGCCTCAAAAAAAAAATCTTAATCTAATTTTTAAATATCATTTTGAAAAACTGTTAAAGCAGATTCAAGAGTCCGTACTAGAATGTATGTAAAGAACTGCGACAAAATTGGTGAACCAATGTGATTTGGCTAGGTTGTAAAGCACTGTAGCAGACACAGGCTGGAGCGGCGCGCGGGTACAAGCACTGGTCGTGGCCGGGCAAGCCGAAGATGAACGGGTCAGAGACCGCGTAGTGTTCAAGATCGACATGATTTGACACGACACAAATAAAAAGTTCATGTTTATAGTCCAATCCGCCTAATAAATTTCATCATCGCGTCTCATGGGCTCGCTCTACACACCATATTCAATTACAGCAGTGCTAGCGTCTGTATATCCGGACGGACATGCGCATCCGGACGCCTACAGTTGCACTTTATTTTCGGCACGCGCCTATACTCTGCCCCTGTGCCAGCACGCCCCCGTCCGCACTAGCACGCCTCCAAGCACTTGCATTTCGCGCGCCCACACAGGGCCTGCGCCGCCCAGACGTTTTCCGCGCAGCTAGACCATCCGCGGGGACCGTCGCGCCCCCTCCGCCGTCTGCATCCGCTCAGCAGCGCCCCCAACAACTGCAGCTGGTGGTTGCGGAAGGTGGGTCTCGTTGCAAATGTATAATACCAGATCTACTTTTGAAATATCCAGATGCAGCGTTTGAAACATACGTCTAAAGGTAGATAAAACACTTGAAACATGTGTTTCAAACACTTGCAAAAACACATGAAAAACAATTAAAAAACATTACAAACATACGCAACATCTAGATAAAACACTTGCAACATATGTGTAAAAACATATGCAACATCCAGATAACCACACTTGTAACATGCGTCGATAAAATATTGAAAACAGAAGCTTGCAACATATGTATACGACCATGCAACAAATGAAATATCTCGATCTATTTTTGTAATATCTGTATGAAACACTCGCAACATACCTATGAGATATCTGAAATACTTGAAACATACGTTTGCAACATGTGTTTTCACCCTTATTCTTCGGGACAACGCAGAGCAGAGCGTGGAACGGCCAGTTCCAGCTAGCCGACGGCTGAGGATGGTGGCGCGACCTGGCAGCGGCCAGCTATGCCTGCGCCTGCCTTGGGCCTGACCAGCGACACCCCCTCTCCTGCGTGGTGGCCGGTGAGCGCGGTGGAGAGGGAGGAAGGCGTCATCGACGCTCGGATGCAGTGGAAATGGAGGAGGGCATGGGGAGGCGGAGAGTGTGGCGCCAAGGAGCTGTGTGGAGAGGAGCGGGGACGGGACGCAGAGGAAGGCCCCCTGGAATGCCGACTCGGTGGTGGGTGCGGGTAGCACGGCTGCGACGACAAGAAGAAATTGCGCAACGAGACGAGGAGGTAGAGAAATGTGTTCATTATCTATTTTTAGATGGATGGTGAGGAGGTGCAGGCGGGGGTGGTCCCGCAGGTCCAGGTGAACGCGTCCGGATGGATGGACGCCCTCACCGTATCATTGTCATATTCAATTATCATACATTAACCATTACCTATTGTAATAATCATATTCGTTCAGTTCAATTTAAAAAATAGTTTTTGATGCAACTGTTTTGGAGACACGTTTATTTATAAGTCGATGTTTTATCTACGTGACTTGTTGTGCCTTCAAATATCACCCTAGATTGCGAACTGAGCCATAACTCAGTTGGTTAGGTTTCTTGCGGTGGAACATGTCCACCTAGGTTTAAGTCCTCAATTTGGCACGGGTGTTCGTATTTTTCTGGATTTATTCCATGATTTAACATGCGTTATGCTTTCAGTGGTAGACGACGTTCCCGTCGATAACGAGACGTTTGTGGTGACTTTGTCAATCTCGAGATGTGCCGGTAGAGTCTTTCGAATGTGCTCATAGGGGTAGGGTTTACGTACGTTTATTCATAAGGGTGAGTGTGCGTGCATGTTGAGCATCTACATAGGTACTTGTGTAATTAGCAAAAATATCACTCTACATCCATCTGTATACTCCAGATGTCCTTTAATGTTTTAGCTTGCTTCTTGTAATTATAATATTATATATTTTGGTATTTTGCAAAATAGAAATGTCAAGATACTTCATTAGTCTAAATTGTAGTTTTGCTATGACTTATAGGAAATATATTGTGCACTAATTGAAAATTAATCGGTCACTAGATTAATTAGTATTCTTAACCTTTCCCATTCTATGTCTACACGTGAGTTAAACACGATTAAAAAAACCCTGCTCTGTACTAATACTAGTACTACTAGTACGCTTGAAACCCCCATAGTTGTAGCAGATCAATAGGCCAACACACCCGCATTCTCCACTATCCTCTCCTCTGTGTTACTCTGCTTCCTTTTCCCCTTTTGCGTTCAAGCTCGCTGGTCCAAATCCAACCCCATGTCTGGAGCCTTTTTCAGCGATTATTACACTAAATCAAGTCCCCAAAAGCTCTAGTTGTTATCTAGTACTCTCTCTATTCCAAATGGTAAGGTATGAACCTAGAAAAGTCAGAATTAACTTGCAATTTGAAACAGAAAGAGTAGCCATTTTTAGGGACTTAGTTTCAGTACCCACTAAGACAGGAGGTGTCATAGTGTTCTACGGCTCTTGATGCCACAACGGGCTCAGAGCTTCCGTGTGCGTAGTGGTGCACACATATGAGCGGCTGGACGCTGGTACTTAGGTGCGTGGTCATGGCCGTGTAGTGGCATCAAGCTAGTGCCGACTCTGTTCAAGTGTGCAAGGTGAGCTCCTGATCTGCTCCTGTACACCCTCCCTTTCTATATCTCATGCCTCCTTTAAGTATGTGACTACTAAAAATTAATCCCATACTCCCTCCATTCCTAAAGAAAATCGTTTTAAGATTGTCTTAAGTTAAATATTTTAAACTTTGACTACAAATAATTTTTTTAAGTTAAGTTTGAAAATATGAAAATGATATCAGTAGATTCATCTCGAAATGTAATTTTATAAAAGTATATATTGAATATATTCTATAAATATTTTATAGCAAAAAGTAGTAGTGAAAGTTATTTTTTAAGGCCGTGTTGATGTCTAAAACAACTTCCTTTAGGGGGAGTACTCTACTTCCACTTGTGCTGCTGTGATTTGTGATCCTTCTGAAATGGTGGGCTAGGCCTAAGAAATCATGGTAGGAATTGGTGATGACGTGACGTGTGTTTGAGCTGAACAAAGGAGCTAGGTTCTTTGCTGATGTACGCTTAAACTTAAATCGACTACTGTGGGGGATTCCACCTTTGTTTCGAGAACGAGTTCGATCAAGACAACAAAGCACACAAACATGGTTGTGGCGTCCTTGGTTAACCTCTACTGGCCTGTCCTCCCCGCCAGCTCTACTTCATAGCTATATGTGTTCGCTTGACTGATAAGCCATGGTCGAAAGTACTGTTGATTGATTTGTTGTGAGAGAAAAATACTGATTTGCTGTGATTTTCAATGGTTACAAAGAAACTTGATAGGGATGACTGTAGGAGAAAATAGTGGATGCTTTGATGTATTTGGATTTATGCTTTGTTGTCTTTGGATTTTTGCTTTGAACAATGTTTACTTGCTTTCTTGCTTTGGTTCTCCACTCCAGGTGCTCTACAACTATGGACTGGTACTTATTGACCTCACCTTGACTGCTTGGTCAACCAATTGCTATCGGTTGACTGAACAAGTGAGCTGCTCCTTCTAGAGGGATATGACAAGTCTTCCCAGGTGCATGAACTAGTACATATGGTGGTAAAAAGTTTCTAGTGTTTTGTACTACTATGTCCTCAATGTGTAAGCCTACGTTTGGTTTGGCAACTATGTTTGATGGGTTGGTTCTGTTCTAGTTTTTTTAGTTGGCTTGGGCCCAATTCGTGTTTGGTTATCGAGACGGGGTTATTTTCTGTTTGGTTGGAGACACATAGGATATGGGTTGAGATCCCTGACACATGGGCCCCACACATTAATCTTAGTTTCTTTCTTCTTTCTCTGCTCAGCTCGTACTCGGTAGCCAACATTGCTCTGCCCTAGGTTCGGCCCAGCCACCCCCATGCCGCCACCCCATGAGCTCACCCACCGCAACGCCGTCCCATGAGCTCGCCCACCGCATGCGCAGTGCCGTCCCGTGAGCTCGCCCAACCACCGCAGCGCTGCCTCGCATATGCCTACTTGTGCCAACGCGTCGAGCATTGTTGCGCACGATCCTAACTTGGTTGATTTGGTTTATTCGATTTGGTGAAATTGAATTGACCAAGCCGTAGAAGGAATATTCTCTGTGCCGGATAAACCCAACCCCTAGTCCTAGAACCAAACACCCTAGAAAATAGATGGGACCATCCCAACCCAATTTGATCCCTAACTAAACACATGCTAAAGGAATAGTAGTGTGTGTTAGTTTGTGAAATTATAGTAATCCGAGATATGTGCATAATCAACAGAAAAAATTAACACAAGATCTTGTGCATTTTTATGTCAGTGTATTAATTTTTCAGGTTAATTTTAAAAAGGCAGGTCTTTAGATATATTATTATCCATCTTTTGGTAAGGACAGACAACAATGTTAAAGTGGACGAGTACGGGCCTATTTTGGAACACGGGAATTTTTTCATGTTCGTGTGTTTTTCCTGAACTGATTCATGTGTGATTCATGTGTACACATTGCATTCCTCGGTTCCTGATAACATGTGCCATACATGATCCATCAAGCATGGCATTATCAGTTCCTATTAACTTCGGTAGGACATACTAGATATTATCTGTCTCTAAAATATATATATATATATATATATATATATATATATATATATATATATATATATATATATATATATATATATATATATATATATATAGGATAAAGATAGCTTGGGCATAGACGACAAACAGCATGCAGTAGATAGACAAATACTAAGGGACAGACAGGCGTATGGGCAACAGAAAACATAAACTGAAGTTGACGGATTAGAGGGTAAGGGTACACAACCGTTCTGGTCGAAAGTCTCGCGGACCCATTCCTGGAACGCGAAGAATTCTTCCTTCCCAGCCTCATCGGTGGCCATGATCTCCGGTATCAGCCCCTCCTCCCTCTTCTGCGCCAGGAGCCATGCGATGTACTCCAACGGCATCTCCACCCACTTCATCTCAGGAGCCTGCTGGACATCACCACCGCTAGTGGCCTCTGCCGGCTTCTCATCAGAGGCGGCGCCCGCAGCAGCAATCTGAGAATAGTCTGCCTTCCTCTCGGCAGCAATCACACTACCCTTCACCTTATCATGATCATCTTGCTTCACCAGCATATGCCTGCCAACGCATGGCCTCAGACCGTCGTATACCAAATCAACTTCCTTCTCCTCCTCCATCGGAGTATGCCCGCCGGTGCATGGCCTCAGACCTCCGTACACCAAATCGGACTCCTCTTCCGTCGGCGTATGCCTGCTGCTGCTGCATGGAGGCATCCAGCCAGCCTCACGGAAATTCTTCATTGGACCCTCTTTCTCTTTGCCAGCCATCCTTAGAGCTGATATATCCGCTGCGCGAGAGCCCAGAAGGGGCGTTGGTCGTATCGTAGAACCCTAACTTTGGATTGGGGATCACAAGGAGGCGGCGGTGCCTGGCTTTATAGCCTTTTAATGCATCAAAGCAATCGGACCCCAAGTCGAAACGGACAAAGACCTAAACGGGCCCGTATCCAAAACGCCCGTTCCTCCGTTCCTCCTCCCTCCCTTCACATATGTATGTCCAGAATTTATCCCGGATATATAAGGCTGTATGGATAGTTGTGCATCGACTCACAAATATCCGTTAATTTCCTACCGGTGAAGACCGCATACTCTTTTTGCTAAGTTCTAAGTGCGTGGAACAGGACATTATAACTCTGGATCTTACAGCTGAGCAGTTTATACACATCAAGCGGATTACTTGATCTAGCCCACTAGGCATTACATTAGATATTAATAAAGGTCGGTCTAGATGTGCCGAAATAGACCAAGATAACCTACAGATGTGATACGGGAGGATGGGCGAACGATTGCACCCAGCACATGTTAGACGAAAATCCTCTGATTTTCCAGTGTGCCCTTGATCTGGTCATGCATCTGCATGGAGCTAGCAACGCGTCTCAACGTGATTTGCGCTTGAGTTGTTCAGGTGGCCTCTGGGAGAACACATGGCTGTCGGCAACATGCGGAAGGCCTTTCCCTCCTCCAGGGCTGTGAAGGCTAACCGAGCTGACAGAGAGCTGGGGGAAGACTGACGAACGCAAGTGATCTGCAGGGCTAAGCAAGACCCCAGCAGAGGTGAGAATCGGTGGGTCTTGGTCAGATATGCTGAAGCCACTCAGTTGCTCAGATACTATCTTGAATGCCTTATCTAGTATCGTGTCGATGTACTTTTGGTTCGCTTCCATTCGGATCTGCATATGCTTCTGGACCTAATAAATGCAAAAGTGCAGCAACCAGTTGTGCATAAATTGATTTGAATTGAATTAGGAGGAACTGGAATCGTTAACTCAGGTTTGACTGTCTTAAAGCTAAAATGAGTTCATTTCGTCATCCTTAATCAGTTGTTGTCAGTCAACAAACCCACAACACTGTTTGTTCTTCATAAATTACAGATTAGTAGACAGCAGAGGTTTCCTCTCTAACTAGGAAGTAGGAAGCAGTGAAGCACCCAAGTATGTGGAAACTATTGAGTTCCAAATGGCTAGGTAGTCAGAACAACAATCAAGCAAAATCAGTATTTGGTGATTACTATCTCCTTAGCATTATGTATGCTAACTTGCTAAGGCAGCAATGGAACTAACTGAGTTCAAGAAAAGACAAGACATACTGGCAGATTGGGAACTCATGTTACCTCCACTTGTTCGTGTAATCTTCGTTGCACTTCCATTTGTGCTCTGAGTGCTTCTTTAACTTCTTGACTCCTATACAAATGTAATAGGAGCATGAAATTTCTCTAGAGCTCACAGGTAACTTAAAATCCTAAATATGTATGTGATGGGCAAACAAATATAATATAAATTTGTTGGATATGTGCTGATGCAGCTTACTCTTTCACATCTGGAGTAGAACCTCTAGGAGACAAAGTTGTTCCACTTTGGGCTTCCATAAGGTAAGAAGCTGCAATTGTGAGAACAGAGAAGGCCATACATGTCACTACGAATCTGGCCCAACTTTACAATGTTAGGCTCACAGTAATAAATAATTATACACATGGCTCATGAGATCATATGTAAACAATGTTTTGACGATACATATGTAAACAATGTTCAGACAACCTTTTAGTACTAGCTGTGAAACTCTCTTCATATAAGTTGCATTTTAAGTTGAAATTGTGGATTGTGGGATGATATATGACATCATAAAGTATGCTCAAAATGTACTTCACAATTTTCGTGATGCATCCCCTAATGGAGCTCTATTGGGCATAATGGCAGAGTAGATGACACAGTTTAGGTAGTGTATAAGGGTGGAGGTGCTATTCAGCCCAAGGAGGATCGCCGCACATCGCATGGACATGCTTTGCCAATGCTAACATGCTTAGTAATATTGGCCATTTCACAATTATGGCTTATAGATTGAAGGAAAGTAGGAAACAGTTCCACTTATTAAGAAAACACTATAGGAGTAGAGAAACTAATTACCTAACAACCATATCTTTAAATAATTATGCTTTCCTTATTATGCTTGTCATAGTATAGCACACACTATGGCAAATGAGTAGCAACTATGCATTCCAGAGGAGGATTTGTAGTCTAAGAGTCTTAACTATGGATGACATGCATACCAAAATGGAGACTGCTCTTCCATTCTATGCCCTAAGAATGTTAATAAATGAATAACACAAAGCAAGGAAAGGTGTATCATGGAAATTTTAAAAAAATCATCAGTACTTATATGTTACTTACCATCTTTTGATTGCTCCGTCAACTCTTTGCCAGACTGTCCTCCCAGTCTGTATTTCTGGCAAGTAGAAATAAGAAGTAAACTTAAGAGTGAAGTTGCACTCTTGAAATTACAGGACAGATGCATGAACAACTGCATGTACAACCTGAAGATGGCTTTTCAAGTGAAAAAGGGTGAGGCCCTTCACTCCCATTGTTCTCATGATAGCTTTTGGTGTTGCTTCTGCAGGATTGATATTGCAATCAGTCTAACAATGATATATCATCATCAGGAAGTTCAATTAAGATAACCAATACATGCCAACCTAACAACAGCACATGACTCATTAGCATCCTAGAATTTCATACTAGCAAGGAATAAGGTCTGCAGACAAGCCTACAGTTGATGATATTGTGGTTAAACAGTTTTACTACCTAAGTTACTACAGAAAATGGAATGGATTCACTCTGTATTTATGCCTCCTTCACCAAACAATGGGAATTCAAATTATGTAAAGAAGTTGACATTTACTGAGAGCTCCACCAATCACTTTAGGGGCACCAGGGCAGTAAAGTGTAAAATACTAAAACAACAACAAAAAAACATAAAAACCAACAGCAAAAAATCTAACAAAACCACAAGGTTTTGAAAGTCACACTTATTTAACAAAGGAGCAATAAAAGTATGGAACACCTAAACGGCTAAACCACGTTCGAAATTCAAACTGCTAGAAACAAGAGTGCAAGGAAAAGCTGATGCCACAAAGAAGCAAACAAAATGGACTATAAAAAATGACTGAATAAAAGACAACATAATGCAATAGCTAAAAAGATTATTGGTGACTGGTGAACAGAAAAAAAATCACATGTTTCTGATGGCGAAATAGTGTATAATCTAGAAAAGATATTCACTGTGATGGACTGGATTAGAAGAACATAGGTTTTGTGATATATGTATGATCAACCAAAGCATAATAACAATAACATGATTGTGGATATCATACGCTTTACTGAGATGCATGCTATGATGCTAAGCTTGGCCATGTATAATCTAGAAAAGATATTCACTGTGATGGACTGGATTAGAAGAACATAGGTTTTGTGATATATTTATGATCAACCAAAGCATAATAACAATAACCTGATTGTGGATATCATACGCTTTACCGAGATGCATGCTATGATGCTAAGCTTGGCCATGCTATGATGCTAAGCTTTGGTTGAGAAAAGGCACCAATTCTTTCAAATTTGACAAGCAGCAGCATCCAAAACAACAAACTCAAATCCCTAAACACGAGCAACAGTCAAAATAAAACAAGGAGCCTTTGCTCAAATGCAGAGAACCATAAACTCAATAGCAAGCACAACTCTATCTGAGGACAAGGATATTTGGGGCTACAGATGGGGCTCTAATATCTTTTCCTCCACCAAAGTCTACAAGATCCTGATGGGGCACTCCTGGGTTGTTGATTCAGCCTTTAAGTGGATTTGGAATCTTTTTGTCAGCCAAAGCACAAGGTCTTAGTCTAGCTTTTGACCAAAGACAGACTAAGCACCAGAAACATTCTAAGAAGGAGAAACATGACCCTCAATTGCTACAACTGTGTTCTCTGCAATCTGAATGAGGAGACAGTTCAGCATCTGTTTCTCCACTGTCCCTTTGCTCGAGCTTGTTGGGGGCTACTACACTAGATGTTCTTCTGGACAGCAGCTTTCCTGAGATTGTCACTTTCTTCAAGGTCAATCTTCAGACTGAGTTCTTCATGATTGCAGTAATCCTAATGTGCTGGGTTATTTGGACAGCGAGGAACGATCTAGTTTTCAGAGGAATTCAACCAAACCTACAAATTTGGAGAGCCCTCTTTCTCAAGGAAGTCTTGCTACTTTCCACAAGAGTCCGTTAAAACCTCACAGCTTTGTTTAGTCTATGGACCCAAGCTCTACAATGATTTGGTGTTTGGTTTTTTATTTTCTTTGTCTCTCTTCTTTTTTTGTTTCCTGAACTGTAACTTGTTACTTGTACCTTGGTCACTTTTTGACACCCCCCCCCCTCTCTTTTTTAATGCATACCCCGTAGGGGTCTCGGCCCCTCCAGTTTCATTAAAAAAACCAGTTAAAATGAAACAAACTTTGGTTAAAGTACAATAACAAGATAATGACTGGTGAGTCACCAGAAAGTAATCACAGAACCAACACAAATGAGAAACCACATCATGACAAGAACACTCCCAAGAGACGGAATTGCTCCCAGCTGACCAGCCTCATGTTCTTTGTCATCATCCCAAAAATTATGAAAGATGCATGCTCTTTATGATCATGTTACCTGAAAAATAACACAATGCCTGAAATGATGACCTTACACTTAAACACTGAAGAGATCATATGCATAGATAAATTTACCAATTCTTCACAATACAAATCAACAAGGTGCACAAAATTCCTCGACTAGACACCCAAATTGAGAGCACAGGATGGCTAAGGATGCATTACCGTGAGGCCGTGACCTGAAATTCAGAATTCGTCAGCCCCCATGGCTAACGGAACCGCGCATTCAATCAACTGAAACAAAACCTCAAGATAACTCAAGCTCCCCCTCCGAAAAGACGCGCAGTGCCAGTCAATTGTCCTAGAGTCCTAGGTGAATTACACATTTTGCTTCCCGCAATGCCGCTGCGCCAATTCCCACATGTCATTAGCCGCAACGAACTGACCAACGCAGCCAAATGAGCTAGGAACCATGAAACAGGCAGATCAAGAAACGCGCGCAAGCGACCACGGAGCAAGAACGAGGCAGACAGAGCAAAGGATGCGGGAAAGAAGCATGGGGAAGAGCTGTCGAAATGCTCACTATCAGGCCCGCCGAGCTGGGCGACGGCATCGACGAAACGGTCGTGGAGGTCGGCCGTCCAGCGGAGCCTAGGCTTGGGGTCGGCCGTGAGCACCACGCTGGGCCCGCCGCCGTGCCCGTGCAGCCCCAACCCGTCGCCACTGCGCGGTGCGTCCTCGGTGGCGGCGACGTCGGGTCGGCCACGGCGAGCGTGGTGGATCAGGCTGGGGAACATCTCCCCCGCCCGGAGCTCACCTGCGCTTTTAGACTCCCCGCGCCTGGTCCCTCCTCCAAACCGCGAGAGGGGGAGAAAGATTGGAGCTTTTCTTCTGATGGCTGCAGCCGTTCTTCCCCGCTTTCCTGCTCCCATTTTTGCTTGTGCAGCAGACAGCTAACACTTTCGGAGCGAGTTTTCCCCAAAGAGAGATTCACGTGATGTGTACACACTACTCTCACCATCTCCAATGACCAGTGCGCAGTTGTCTTTTAACGTAAAGGAATAGCCGAGGTATTAGGCTTACCGAAGTATGTGGCCAGTACTGTAAAGTCTCGACTCACAAAAGGTCTATAACGGTATGGTCCTTAATCGACACAGGCGGAACAAGCACGACCAGGCGAACTTATCTGCCCAAGAACACTTTCCATAACATCGAGTCCCGTCCGGTCTCAATTTAGCATTATCACTATCATGGTATTCTCCTGACCCATAACAGGGTCTAGAAGAGCAAAGCTAACACCTATTTCTCACAAACGATGAAACCATCATTCGACTTCTATCGAAGTCTAAGTATTACTAAGCATTAGAGGTATCAACCTACTCATACTAGCATGATAGAACTAAGGATACCTGAATGTCAAGGTATTCATACAACAATGGTCGACCAACTCCTAATTACTTAATGCACATTTCACAAGACTTAAAGTTTAATAAAGATTAGTAAATACTAGAGAATGGTTTATACTTTAGGGCTTGCCTGCGTTGTAGAGAAGGTTAGATTCCATAGAAAGGTCCAGTAGTCAGACTTGGCATCACTACTACTGGTGGATGGACCTTCTTCGAAACTTGATCAACACGAACTTCCCACTCTCGTACACTACACGTAATAAATGATGCGTGTTCAACATGATGAAATGCATGCTATGATCCATATCGAAAGATACACAAAAGCATGGATGACCTTATCAAACTTAGAAAGTTGAGTACAACTTTCCTTCACCAAAGAGTTAGGATTATTATCATAAAAGCACTTCAGTTTATTTAACTAACAAGTTAATTAGTTCTTATCATGAAAGGAATTAAACTTAACATGGACCAGCAAGAGACTGACATATATCTTAACTCATGACATTACATAGAACTTATAAAACCAAACATTTAATTAAGTCATTTTATTTATTATAAAAGCAAGTTGATTCAAAGCATAGCAATCAAGTAATTTAATCGCCAAGGAACGACAGGGGTTTGAGTGTTCCAAGGTCCACAATCAAAGTATAAATTACACCAAAGTCATTCAAGTATTTTTCTAATTCATTTAGCATTTATTAATTAAAGAAAAAAGGCATTTAAACACACTTAAATTAATTAACCAAGTTAGATTTATCAAAACAGGACTAAACTTTTTGTGAAGGCAGGTATTAGCATGTAAAGCATACACAAAAAGTTTCATGATTAAAGGATTAATATCTTAGTCTATAAAAATCATGCAAGGTCCATTTAATAATTAAAAGAGGTATTTTTTAAACATATCAAAACTACTTATCATGACCAACACATATTTTTCCATGATAGAGCACATCATAAGAAGCCTACATACCAAATTTCATAATTTTAGCATGCTCTAATAATTAGCTATGAAAATAACAAGAATCAACACTTTTAATCATTTACTGAAAAAGAATAAATCATTTTATGCACAAAACCTTTTCTCACTCACCCACAGCCAGCCACAGGACTAACATGTGGGACTAGGTCCACGGTGGGTTCTCATCGCCGATGAGGTCTCCGGCGATGGCGACTACCCCGACGTGATCCCCGTCAACCCCCGCACGCAACTAGGCTACCGGTTGAACGAAAAGGGTACCCCGGCCATCACGTCACTAGCCAAGGTGGCGCTGCGGTGCTCCGGCAAGGCGGAGGGAACCAACAATGAGCTTTCCAGTGATGGTGAGGTCAGCAACGCACTTGCCGCACACTCGTAAACACGCCTACACTAGCGGTTGATCAAGCTATGGTCGGCAACGAGCTTGCCCGCAGCCATGATGGCTCGATGGCACGCGGCACGACGGTGGACCAGCGGCTATGGCCCCTAATCGGTCTAGCTTCGGGTGGCTTCACTCTCAGGGTGCTCACCTCGATCTATTAGACTTGATGGTTGAAACGGAGGTGGCTCGGTCGCGGCTGCCGACGGTGAGGACGAGCACGGCAGCATGAACCCGACGACAAGCTCACATTCCGGAGTGTCCTGGGGATAAAAGGGAAAACCGGTGAGTCGATGAGCATCGTGGCATCAAAGTGGAGCTCAAACAACCAACGACGTGGTGAGAGAAGTTCTGGAGGAGTCTAGCCACGGTGGAGGTGAAAGCGGCGGCCATGGCGGCGTGGCTACGACAAGAACCATCATTGAGGGTGATGCTGGCGGAGCGGGATGGCGAGAGCAGGCTTAGCAGATGCAGCATGAGGAATTGGGTTGAGGTGCTATGGAAGCGGCCAATTTGGCCAGCAAGGTGAGCGTTGTCGACGGTGGCAGAGAGAAGAGAAAGAGCAGGACGCCGGTAGCTCGACTTAAGACGACGAGGCAAAACACGAGCAAAGCGTCAAGGCGTGACCAGTAGCTGCTTGTCGTGCCACCACGAAATAGGTGCGTGTCCTATGCATGCTATGGCGGTAACAGAGGTGGTGGCATCGGCGGTGAGCAGCTAAGACACTGCTGCCGACTTCACTGTTCCCCACCTGAACCCTCATCTTCCTCTCCCTCGTTCTCTCGATTTCACAAAGACACTTGATGAACGACCTTAATCAAAGTTCTTCATTGATCTAAGATCTCCAATTTTGGTTAAAGCACCAACATCAAATGATTGATGGTTTTGAAGATTTTGGATTTCAAAGAGAGGCACTTTTGAACTAAAAACAGGATTTTGTTAGGGTTTTCAAATGAATTTTTTTATTAGCAAACTTTGGGAATTAATGTATGAGCAACCATTACTCAAACAACACAACTAATTACATATTATCTAAGCCCAAGCATCACTCCAATCAATGGAACAAAAGTGGCACAATTTTTATTTATGAAAATTCATATATTAATTCCCCAAAAATTGAACTTGATAACTCTATTTCAGGGACTTAACCAAATGGATAAGTGTGAGGATCTAGTTACACAATTCAATTTTGAGTTCAAAATTAAGCTTGTTTGATTTGAAAACATTCCCCAACTTTGCTTCCATGTTAAAGAGCATACTTTAAACAACAAAGTTTATCTTAACCCAAATTTTATTTGTTTAAGCAATTTCACATATATAAATTAACAAAGTTCCTTAATTCATATCAAAGATAACATTTCATGCAACATATTAAACATAACATATGCAACATATGGATGCTCTAATTGAAACATAAAATGCACAAATAACATGATACTTGGTGATTATGCTTCATGATGCTCATGATCAAACTTTGAATTGCTTTTTAACATCTGGGATGTTACATATCCTAAGGGAAAGCGATGGCTAGGAATGACAATAAACTAGAGATCTCAAGATTTACCACAAACTAGTATCAAATAGTGTAGAGGGGTAATCGAATTTTGTATAGGAACGGTGACAAAGCAAGTGCAAAGTAGCTTAAGGATAACTTAGTAATTAAGGTATAGCTAGGTGAAAGAACAACAAGCGAGTATATGGTTACTATGATTTAGACTCTACTCCTATGGTTTATCCTAATCATACAGTTGCAATACTATAGATTGAGTCCACACAATGAGTATACTAGGCGGTAGCTAAGACAATAGGAGATGTAACTCCATAGTGTCAACTCATAACCTCACAACTAAAGGATATGATAGCAGCTCTCTAACTCATCAACCATGGCAATGAAAGGGATGTACCCCCTTCAATTTCTCCGCCCTTTGGCAACAAGCGTCAAAAGAGAGAAAAAGAAAGAGAGGTATTGAGGCTCACTCCTCATCCTCGAGGTCATCCCATGGGATATGAAAGGATCAAGATGACCAAAAGGGGGATGAATTGGGCTAATTCTAAAATTCTTTGCAATAATTAAACCCTACACTTAGCCCACTTCACCCCTTGTGCCTAGAAAGTGTTCCTATTGTTCTACCGTACAAAAGTTTTGCATCCTAGGTTCCAATCCTACTCTAGCATGGCAATTCTAAGAATGTAAAGACAAGACATGAATTGCTCAAATGTAAATGCTTAAAGTAAAGAGAGGAGAAGGAACATGGCGATGTTTTGCCGAGGTATTAGAGAGTCGCCACTCCCCACTAGTCCTCATTGGAGCACCCGCACAAGGGTGTAGCTCCCCCTTGATCCACGCAAGGATCAAGTGCTCTCTATGGGCTGATTCTTCGACACTCCGTCACGGTGAATCGCCCATAACCTATCACAACTTGAGTTGGGTCATCCACAAGCTCCATCGGATGATCACTAAACTCCCGATCACCACCAAGCCGTCTAGGTGATGGCGATCACCAAGAGTAACAAGCACGAACTCTCACTTGACCACAAAAAGCCTAATGAGAAAGGTGGATGCACACTTGCTACTCTCCTTGCACTAATGAGGCCTTAATCTTGGATTCTCAAATCTCAATCACCTCACTAGGCTCTTGCTCTCCTTTGCACCCTCAAGGGTGTTTCTCAGCTGAACAAATGGGCAAGAGACATCCTTTGGATGAGTGGAGTAAGTATTTATAACCCCTCGTTCAAAACATAATGTTTGGAGGCTGAGTCATCACTCTGCGGGGTGACCGGATGCTCCGGTCAGGGTGATCGGACGCTCCAGTCAGTTATCCCCGCCACTGTGTTAGAAAGAGCCGTTAAGTTATGATCGGACTCTGATCTGTGTCCGGTTAGCACTGACCGGACGCATCTGGTCATGAAAACTACTCTCTAGAACCTTACTGATGTTGACCGAACACTGGCGCCCAGAGTCCGGTCACTTCGCTGTTCAGCGTCCGGTCAGTTACTGGATCCTGACCAGCGTCTGGTCAGCACTGACCGGATGCA